CATTTCGTACCCGTAGATAACACCAAAACTTCATTCGACACTCATTGGATATTTGCATACACTTATTCAAATGCACTCTTATACAATACATGTTTCAAGTTAAACCATTTGTCATATACTTCTTGGACGTTTATCCTACACTTTATATGCAATTATTGAAACTCATTTGACATAAGATGAATTCAATGCAACCCATACACAATGCAAAACTATGATTATAAAGAGTAATTTGGATATCAAGTTAAAACAAGAGCAATTTGCTTTCATAGGTTTATATTACGAATGAAACATATAAATGTTATGGGCTTTTATTTCATAGCATTTGAAAATGAAAAAAAAACAATATTGATTACATGTAAATTATATGCTTTTTGCATGAAGACTTACGGAGTGAACAATATCCCATTAATAGTCAATAGTAATCCGTGAACAATTTTGGGTGAACAATAAAGTTTTTTGGAGAGAACATAAGGTGAAGGTCATTGGGCTAGAGAAACAAAGAACAAAAAAAGATAAATACAGATAAAGTTGTGGGCTTCATACCCTAGGTAAACCACATACCTAAAACACAAGATGCAATTCACATGCTTACACAAAGGTTTTCTAGAACTCCGAAAATTTATTAATCAATGCCTATTCTTAAAAGGAACACTTAACACTTGTTTATAAAAGAAACCTAATAACAAAGTATAAAAACAAATATCCTCCCTCACTAAAATCACAATAAAAAATAACTTCATAACTAAATCTCAAGTCTAAAATATCAACTACATTATCCTAACCGGAAAAAAAATATAACAAAATATCCTAACCACTTTTTAAATTGAATCAAGTCATATCTTGTAGGTTGTTCTGCACTAAAAGAGAAAAATTATATTTTTTCTTTTTGCTCTCTAATTCTTCACTTCAATTTAGATTGATAATTGTACATGTTTAAATATCGGTAGGAGCTATATACGTGACCCCAAATATGAATAAAACTTTAGAAAGATTCTCAAAAAACCTACCTTGAAAGAAATGAATATGAAAATCACTAGGCTAGAAGCGTATTGATTAGGGAATGAACAACCTAGGAATATAACTAAAGGATGATATCTAAATAATAGACTTTCCCTTTCTCCTACAAGGAACTTAGAGAACAAAGAGATAGTAAGGGACCTCATGATATCACTAAAAGAGTTAAGGTAGAAGCCCTTTCTAACAATGAAAGACATGCACCCAAGGCTTTCAACAATTACTTGGCGGACATGGCTTACTAATTTCGTCAGTATAACATGTCAAAAAACCATAGATTAAGTTTTTCTAAAACGAAGTTCTTCAAATCAGCAAAAAATTCACTAGATTTTCATTGAAAGACAACCACAACAAAAATGCTTAAGACCACTTGTAGAGCTTTGGGATGAGTTGAAGGAAAATTTGAAAGAAAAATATTTGCCACTCGCATATTCGAACAAGTTGTTAGAGCAATTAAATATTCTAATAGAAGGTAGTTTATCCGTCCAAGAATACATAAGTAAATTTGACGAATTGATGACTCGTGATGTCCAATAACCCTAGTGTTACACTGTTTAGGCTTCCTATTAGTTTTAGGATAGATATTAAAAGGGAAATGACCCACATTACAACCTTACAAGAAAATGTCCATCAGGTTGCTTAGGATTTTGAACAATACCTTAAGGCTTAAGGCATCCAACACTAAGGAATTTTCAAGTCGAGCCAAGGATCTATATTTGATCTAAATAGATAACAAAAACTAAAACTGATACCATCGAGGGATGAGTTCAGATGGTTGAGCGCGATCAATGTATTCTCCAAGTGCCTAGGTTTGATTCCCCGTCTCACATTCAACCGGTATTACTAGAGTTAATGATGGTAACACCCGGAGTTTATTTGGTTAGGTAGAGATCCTATTGATGACTCGTTGTTTTTGAGATGGGGTCCTCCCTAGGATGAAGGTGTGCCCATGTGTGTAGAGGATAATAATCTTTTGATTCCACCTCAGGATGGTCGCTTGGTTGTAGCTACCCTGACCAAGGTTTCCCTCGTACCCAAAAAAATTAAAAATGATAATAAATACTCATCAAATTTAAAAGAAAAATTCATTACCGGTAGCACTACGAATAAAAATAAGATGACTTCTAGATGTCTTAATTGTGAAGGTCTAGCACATTTAGTAGAGGCTTAATTGCACTTATGGTTTGATTCGTTTAGATTTATGGTTCAATTGAGGTCTAAACCAAAACAAGTATATGCTTATATAAATAACCAAAAAGAAGAATTGAGCCTCAATTGCGATTAAATTATTTTACAAAAGTTTTGCAATTGATGAATTTCTAGTCCAATATATCCCCAATATCCAACATTTACAACATTGATCATAAATTCAAAATATCTTAGATGATTTCTCTAATTCGCACTGCAATCTCTCTTTGTTAAGATAAAATAGTTCTGCAATATTTCTTTAATGTTTTCAATGAAATTTTCAATCTTCTGAAGTTCTTTAGCAAAACTCTAATAGGCTCTTTTACTTAAGTTTCTACAATTGTTTAGTAATCCTACATATGTATCATTTCCATTTTGTATTATTAAATAACATTAAGTATGATTAGATTTCACTTCGGATTATTATATTAGACATGCATATCATCTGATATGACACTCTGATATTTACTATATATCATTGATATTACCTCGATATCCGTAATCAAATATGGATTTTCATCGTCCAGTATTTTGCTGATAGTCGATATTTAAAACCTTGCCTCCACTTTAAATTCTCTCAAAAAAAGTACTGTTCACCTAAAACTGTTCGTGCGGTACTGGTCACCCAGTTACTGTTCATGCAATAAACAGGCAACTGTTGGTTCAGATTCAAAGATCATCCATCAAAGCCAAACGGATCCAGATCAAGTCAGATTTGCCATCCAAATTTTCCTCGGATCCTCAGATCCAATTCACGTCAATGACAACTTATTTCTTCCCTCCCATTGAAGGCCAGTTAGAAAGGTACCAGTGGCTCCTAATGATAAAGGTGGGTTTGTTAGAGGTTGGGCACTAAATCCTCAATGTTTATATATTATTCAACGCCCAGGCACTTGAGCACTCACCTAAACAGTAAGACATTACTTAAAACACGGCAAGAATACCAGTTAGGTCCACCTAGTTGCATCTAGTATACTTCATTTCTCATAGATTGTGAAAGTTGTTTGCCATATATTTCTGAATCCTTAAGGCTAAAGCTTTTTTCTCGTCCTTTTGAGAATTTTCCGCATTTAGTTCCATCCGTTAATGCAATATCACTTGCACACCACATTGCAACAGAATACACTACAGGCTCCAGCATGTTCAACATATATCTACCCCAACATGTGCTAAATACTTCTAAGTTACATATGTGACATGTCCAACATGTCTGGTCTTTGACAAGCTTGGATGTAGTTATATCCTAAGAAGCACCGACTCGTTAAAACTCCCCCTGTCCCCGTGTCCGACGCTTGTCGGGGACGGACACGCGTTCGACACGCGTTCGACACGCGTCGGACACGGCGTCAACGGCGTCGACACGGTCAGCCCTAGTCGACACGGCGAAGTTGAGGGCGACACGGCGAAACCAGACTTTGAAACCCAAACCCGAAACCCAATTTCAAACAGAAACCCAAACCCTAACCCTAGTCGTGAGAAAACTTACCCGATTGAAGTCGAAAGGGCTCTTGCGAAGTGAAGAGGCGCCGCCATCGTCATCCTCATCGTCGTCGTCGTCGTCGTCGTCGTCGTCAGCTCCAAGGTCAGTCCCTCTCTCTCTCCCCCCGATCGATCTATCCCTTCCCCTCTCTGGTTCTCTCCTTCTCTCTCTTATCTCTTTCTCTCCCTCATTTAACTTTTTCGCACTCTCACCAAAAAAAAAAACCCGTGACTTTCCCCTTTCAAAAAAAAAACCCACAAACGACGCCTTAACCCCACCACCCACTGTTCTCCCCCTCTCTCTCTTTAAAACCGCACACAGATTCAAAGAACCCCTGTCCCCCCACTAACATGGTTTCATATTTTAAAATATATGTTTACTGTTCCTCTGTTCTCCCCCTCTCTCTCTCAAAAAACGCACAAGGATTTCAAATAACCCCTGCCCCCCACTACGGTGCTTACATATTTTAAATTGGGTGGTTACTGTTTGCCACTTTGTCATTTTTCTTGCTGTTTAATGCTTCACTTTGTCATTTTCCTTGCTGTTTGATGCTTCACTGTTTGGGGCTACTGTTTACTACTTTGTCTTTTTTAAACTGTTTTGCTACTGCAAGATAATTTTCTAATGTTAACTATTATTTGCTTACTGTTCTACTATTGTATGCTAATTTAAATGTTAATTAGGATTGTTTAACTGTTGTTTGCTTACTGTTCTACTATTGTAAAGTAATTAAAAAATCTAGCCGTGTCGCCGTATCGCCGTATCCTATTTTTTGGGGTTTTGCCGTATCCGTGTCCGTGTCCGTGTCGTGTCCGTGTCGCCGTGCCCGTGTCCGTGCTTCATAGGTTATATCAGGCCGATCGTATCATGGCTAATTCAAATTCTATGAAGTACAAATTTATGATTGTATCCATGATGTGTGTGTATTTCCAGGTTCATGTTTGTCCAACAGAATGAATAAGCAACAGTTGCAATACTCCATCATAAACATGGAACTATCCATATTGGGAGGCTCGATTTGCTGACAAAAAGAATAAGGGATTATAGTTATAGATATTAATTGCATGACGTACGTTAATTTCATGATAGAACCTAACATGTTAACTTAGGCAGTGAGATTACAAGAAAAAATAGTACACAGGTTTAAAAGGAGATAGATAGCTCTATTAACTGAGATGGACGTAATGAAGATACCTGGAAGGAAATAACTGATGGAAGATAAATTTTCTAATTTGCAGAAGTTATTTAAAAGAAGAGAAGTAGCACCTCTAACGACAATAGATCAGTTAATATGACTAAGATGTGAAAAGAGACATACAGATTGCTTTTCTTGGTTAAGTTTGGCAACCACTTCATTGTATCTTGCCAATGCCTGCACAGAGGGTCAAATATTGAGTTTCTAATCAGCTTCTAATGATGCGAGAAGAATTAGAATTCCTACTTTTCTGTATTCTACTTCAAACTGCCGTAAGTCATTCCTTTTTGCTAATATTTGGGCCTCAATCTCCTTCAGTTTCTCAGTTGTATCCTCAAACGTTTTTGCACACACAGCCTCAATAGTATAAGTTGCAGGCTTGAAAAAATTATCGCCTGAAAAGTTATTTTTTTTAAAGAAGGATGAAATTCTCGATAGAGCAGTAGATGCTTCTTAAAAGAATTGGAGTAGAAATAAGAATGCCTGGTAGAGCAGACCATAAACAGCAAAAATGTGGGTGCCAGATTTTAACTCAGAGACTTCACACGGCTGAAGACCGTCCAACCTTTTGAAGAAAGCATTATCAGGGTCTTTTGCCATTGCTAACTGCAACATTGAAGACTAAAATTTAACACTTCAACTACAATGCTGATTTCACAATCATAAGAGATGTAGGATAAAGCTTTGAATATAATAGATCCCATATACCGCATTCACTGTTGAATCCATCCGGTAAACTTGAAAATGCAAGAAGTACATCCCTGCAGATGTAACCTTCCCTGTCTTGTCACTATCTTCCTGCAGTAACACGTATTTACTAGATATCAAATTACTTGATTGATCCACAAGAACTATAGAAACTGCTACTAGAGAAGCAATTAACAATTTCTTTTGTTAATATAAATACAAACTTAAGATCAACTGACTAAAGCTTTAATTCATGGTACTGCGACTTTGAAGAAATGAGAATATATTCCCCAGCATTAGGAGACTAGTATATATGCAAACTTTAAGTCAACTCACTTGGTAATCTCAAACAACCATGTTTTTGACCTATTATTGAATCCATATTTTAGAGGCTAGAAACAAGTGGATACAATGATACAAAAGGTGCTAGGCGGACTAGGCTTTGAGCCGGCGGACTAGAGCCTAGATGCCTAGGCAAGACAGCGCCTAGGCGTTTGACTATTTTTTAAAATTATTTAACTATAATGATTGATAGAAATATGTATTAAATTCATATAAAATTGCAAAAAAAAGATAGCAATCTTAGATCTAAAATAAACTATGCGTACTTAAATACTAAATAGCCAAAATAATAAATAACAATGTTATAGAAAACGCTAGGAGGCCTAGGCGTTTGACCTAATGCCTAGAGCCTAGGAGGTTTTCTTTTTTAATTTTTTATTATAATAATTGATAGTAAATGCCAATGTTATAGAAAGCTTAGGTGTCGGACTAGTGTCTAGGCGGATTTCTTTCTTCATTTAAATGGTGGTCGAGGAGGTTTTGCTGAAGGTCAAAGGAGGTAGTGGAGGTGTTCATATTTAGAGGTTAAAGGAGTTTGAATGTGGTTGGAGGACGTGGAATCCAGCAACACAGAAAATCACAATCAATGCCTATAGGGTGCAACCCATGCTCCCCTAAACACTCCCAAAATCTAGGTGAGCAGCCTAGGTACTACTGCCAAGACGCTAGTTAGCCAGCCTAACCACCTAGACCTAGGCGGACTAAGCGGAGGCTTTTTAAAACAGTGAGTGGATATGGGAATTTACCAAAGATGAATTGTGTAGAAAGAAAAAGCATTATGTATAGGGATCTTAAGAGATTCAAAGGAGGTCACTGATGCATGTATTGTATATAAATCAAAAGGATTTGATGTTTCCCCACATTGAGAGTGGTGCGAGAGTATTAGGTAGCAAGGTTATCGATAGCGGATAGCGTCGCGTAGCGGTGAGGCATCGCTAAGGCTATTTCGGGCTATTGCGGCAAAATAACAGTAAAAAACACAAAATCAAATAGCGGTCTAATATAGGTATGTATAAATACTAAAAAAATTAAAGAAAAATCTAAAAAATCTAAAAGTACATATTGGATGATTTAAAGAGACCCTAAATATGAAATAGACATGTAACCATCACGTAATACCGAAGATAACTGGAGGAGTCAAAAAATCATCGTCTTCGAAAAGAAGAACTTAGCGATGACAGGACTGCCCTAAGAGGAGCTCACAATGAATGAGGTGAGAGGAAGTATCAAAGTAGGTGCCAGAGGCTATAAGAGGAGGCGAGAGTATGCTGAAAATCACAGGAGACGGTGGAATGCAATGGTCAATGATTGAGTTTAATTTTAAAAAAAAACCTCAAACCGCTTTTAAATAGCTGTCAAAAAACAAATTTCGAATGCAATCGTTCACTATTTACCATTATGACACACTATTGGCCGTTTTTACGAACAGACATATTTCACAATATGTCACCGCTATTGCGCGATAGCGTAGCGGAGGATAGCGCCGCGGGAAGGGAACGCTAACGCTATTAGCCCGCTATTGCGGGGCTATTTACCGCTATTTATAACAGTATTAGGTAGTGTACGCAAATAATCTTGAAGTCTCTGCCACCACACAAGTTCCAAGGTTGGGTAAGGATTGAGGGATATATAATTGTATAGTAAATCTAGGATTCTACATTTTGTAGGATGAATCTATGATTCTACATTTTGTAGGATGAATCTATGATTCTACATTTTCGCAAAGCAGTATATTTTTACTCAGCCCACTTTAAGTACAAGCTTGATATCATCTTAAAGTTAAGTCATAATTCTAAATTTGTAGTAACAGAGAAGGATGTATTTTTATATTCTAAAATATACACTATAAAGTTTGTTAAGTACTTAATGAGATCTCAAGATAAAATCAAGTATCCGACATTTCGCACACTGAGAGTGGTGTTAAAGTATAATGCAGTGCAGCAGTGTACATGAATAATCATAGTCTCTGCCACCACAAAAACTCCAAAGTCTGTTCAGGATTGAGGAATACATTATTGTGATTGAGCATTCTTCTGTGGGATCAAATCTATGATCATTCATTCTACATTATCACAAAGCGGTATTTTTTTCTCAATCCAAGTTCTGTCATCTTCAAGTCCTAACTACTATGCCATAACTCTTTTAAGTTTTTGTTAGCACTGAAGAATGTATTTTGAATACTGTAATGCACACTGTAAGGTTTATTAAGTACTCCAAAATATTTCAAGATGAAGGTTCCCCACATACAAACCATGGGTTCATTATAAGTGGAACATCATTTAAGGGCTGTTTGGTTGGCATGAAATGGATATACAATAGCAAATGTTGCAACTAAATTTCTATTCCTGACATTTGGTCTACAACAAAGCGGTTGAAGATGGTAACTATATTTCCATTTTGTAGACAAAGGCTGCAAACAATTTGGTCACAATAAATGTTTCAAGTCTTTGCATTAATTAATTAAACAAAAAATTAAAGCAAGTCATCAATTAAGTTAACCTAACTCAAAAAATGTAGATATTTTCACATTTGAAGATAAACCAAACTTTTTAATTTTTTTTCTCTTCTTTTCTTTTTTTCCTTTTCTTTTTTTTTTCTCTAAATGAATGATGAATATGTATTTCATGCAACAAAAAATACAAACATCTTTTGCAACTAATCAAACATTAGATTTGGATTTGCAAATGTATTTTCCACATTAAAAATATAGATAGCCAAACATGAATTGGAGGTTTATTTCCAGCAACAAATGCTGCAAGTGATATTTCCTGCATGCAACATTTACTGTGATTGCACTTGCAGCGTACCAAACAGCCCCATAGATGCAAAATGGGCTAGAGATTGTGCCACAACTCTAAATTTGTGGCAATACTGATGGATATAATTTTATGTTCTAAAATGTGCACACTAGGGTTTATCAGCTACTTAAGAGATTTCAATATAAAGGTTTTGCACGTACAAACTGCAAGCTCATGAAAAATGGAATAGCATTTAGATGCAAAATGGGCTAGCACCTCGCCACAACTCAAAGTTTGTAGCAATAATGAAGGATGTATTTTTATATTCTAAAATGCATACTATAAGGTTCGTTAACTACTTCAAAGCGATTTCAAGACGAAGGCTTCTGAAATACAAACTGGTCCACGAAAAGTGGATAGCACTTAGAAACAAATAAGCTAATTCTCATGATGCTTCGTGCTTGAACATCTATATGGTGTTACTACAATAATATTAAATAAAGTCGAGGAATAATGAATATGTTGCTTGCTCCAGTGCAAAGAAGGGGTGGTTGTCTATTTCCCTAAAAATAAAAATATAATAATATAAAGGACAAAATGATCAAATCCCCTTAAAAAAGTGTTGGCGAAATCTTAACTCCATTCCAAAAATACCAATTTG